ACCCTGAGCAGTTGGAAAGTATCTTTCAGATGCATACCACACCGCAAGACGTTCCATCAAGTTGCTTCGGAGCGTCGGTTTACACTCTGCGCTCCTCAGTTGGATATTCAGTCGCTGGCATTGGTTTCGCATGCCACGAATAAATGCCACGACCGTTGTGCTCTCAATGGTTGCTTGATATGTTGCGTACCACAACGACTTCCAAAAGTAAGGCGTCAAAGTCGGTACATCCGAGTTGTGCGACAAGCTCGTGATGATAGTTCCACAGTGACAGTCGTTCTTTTAATGGAAAGGCAGCACAACGTACTGGAATCTCGAAGTTCGGGTGTCGGGTGGGTTTGGGTAACCCCTCAATGGAGCGAACGAATCTATAGCGTAACAGTAACCACGTGTGCCACAAAATGCAGCAGCTGCAAAAGTCAACGATAGCGTCATTGAGCATCCGATCTCGTGTCAGTGCTCCAACCAGCTGCTCCATCTTTACTGCCGGTGAGGGAGGAATTGTGGTGTGCTAAACATGAAATCCGAGTACAGTGATAGAGTAGATACAAGTGACTTTCACCATGATGAGCTCAATGCAAGACAGCGATCGATGGCCATGCAAAACAGTTGTGGTCTTAGATATCGTTGGTCTGACGTCGACAAGCTTTTCAGAGATTTCTACACCATTCGTGGCGTGGGAGACATGTTCTTCGCCAGTGGCAACTCCTCGTCTGAGTCTTCAGGGTCGTAGTAAGCCCGCTCGCGCTTGATAGAGAACGAGTCCGACAGGAAGTCCAGCTCGCCCGCGCGCAGTTTCTCTTTTCTCCACATGGTGTAGCACACGACCATTACGACGGCATATAGCATTGCTGAGAAGTAGTAAACAGCAAAATAGTAGCAATAATTAAAGAGGACCGCGCACAACAGCAATGGACATAGTAAATCATTATAACACACACACACACGTTAGCCACGTTAGTCCTCGAGAATTCATATATTGGCCCAATTTTAGCGCACGCACCGGCTTCAAAGCACGAATTGGCACCGGAATTGGGTGTCTTGGCGTTAAGAATGTACATGGGTTGCAGCTTCAGCAACGATCCCACCACTACCTGCCATACGACACGAAACAATAATAAAAGAGCAATGTCAGCACAGCCAATTTATCATTGTGGGGCACTGTGCGACCACCGAAAGGGTCACGTCAGTGTACCAAGAAGACGAAGCCGACGAAGCTGAAAATTGTGCCGCACAGATAACCTAACGGGAGGAAAAAATCATATCAGCAGACACAGGAGATGAGGCTCAATCAACCGTGTAGCGAATAAACCAGAACAGACACCGCTAGCTCGCACCTCCTCCGCTCATGCTGCCGTCTGATACTGGAGGACTTCTTCTTGTCAATCCAGTGCCGCCCCTAGGAGTATTGGCCAATCAAATGTCGTCTGGCTGGATTCATCAGCTCGATGTTATCCACACCAATTTTTGCCCAAACCAAATCTGGTGTGGGTTACACTGAATTGATGTGCGAATTAAAGTTGACGTCAACGACAGCACTTCATCCAGCAATGATCACTTTCCACATAAGTGTAGCTAGGAAGCTTCGTGTGCTGTGTATGCATGGATACCGCACCAACGCTACCATCATGAAGGACCAGACGCGTGGGCTGCGCAAGGTCTTGGCTCCACATGCCGAGTTCGTGTTCATGAACGGGCCTTTCGAAGCCCGCGGACCTTCGGACGACATTATCGAGAAACGCTACGCCGATAGCAAGCCATTCTACGAGTGGGGAAGCTTCAAAGAGCGCGAACGGCCACATCAATTGGACGCGGAAACGCAGGAGATGGAGTATCTGGACGGTGGATGGTACCACGACTACGTGGACTGGGACACCACAATCAAGTACATGGACGAACAGCTCCCCAAACTCGGACCTTTTGACGCGGTTGTAGGCTTCTCTCAGGGTGCGCAGACAATGACAGCACTGACGATGTGGTATCTACATCACCACAATAAATGTTGGTGGAAATGCTGCGTGAGTGTCTGTGGACCACGCGTCCGCGGGGCTGCATTGCGTCCGTTATTTGAAAACCCAGATGGAACGAAGAAGTTGGTTCCAATGCCATCTATTCACATCGTGGGGAAGACGGATAAGTGGCGTAGCGGGTGCTATGAAATGGTGAACATGTACGAGGATCAGCCCGAGGGAGCAACTCGGGACAAGTTTGTGTTCGAGCACGACACAGGCCACAGGTTTCCCAGTGGGGAGCGACATGAACAGCTGTATGAAGACGTGGCGAAGATCATTCGCTCACACTGTGGCTCGCAGTCTGCGAATGAATGGATTGCTTAATAAAATGTGACTGATATCCTAATACCTCAAAAGAGTCCAATGGTAGCACGCTGCTGTTGCAATATAAATTGTTTACCTAACTGGGTTGAGCCAAAAGAGATATTAAAAAAAAACTTGAGATGTGGATGACAAGCTTTGAGCCTTCCACTGGGCAAGCTGTGCATCAAGTTCTTTAGAAATCCAGTCACTTGGCTGGTGGAATCGTCTGCAGCAATGTGCCTTGAATGAGTTGGTCTCCATTCTTGCCACTAATGACAAGCGGAACGGACTCAAGCAAGGCTGATTCCATGAGAATCTTCTTCTGTTTGTAGTCGAAGTCACGTTTGGCCTTCAGGAACGCGGCTGAGTTGCCTTCCGCCTCAGCGTTCGCTTGAATCTTCTCCGCCTCTTTTTCCGCCGCTTGCACTCTTGCGTCCCCCTTCACCTTAGCAACATCCACGAACTGGCCAAAGTCCGTCTTGAGGTTGTTGAGCTCCACCAACGGCACCGCTTTGCGTTTCACTGTCCTGGCCGTCGCAGTGGCCACAGCATCAGCCTTGTAGCCTTCTGCCGCCTTGATCTTGTTTTCGTTTCTCGACACATGCTCAGCAACTGTGACTTGCGCTTTGGCTTCCGCGATTGTGCGTCGCTCGTCTCGAATGATAGCAGCACGAACACTCTCAGCCTGGAGATCTTGGATCGCACGCTCGTTGTTCTTCTCCAATGCTGTGAGCTTTTGTGTTTCTTGGTTTAGTAGCATGCGCATCTGGTTCTCATGGTGCTTCTCTTGCTCTTCCATGCGCGTCTTGAACGCCGTGGTCTCTTCCAATGTCCTAGAAAGTGCCACTGGCAGGTCCACATTTGTCACCTTGACATTGTGGATAAAGACACCGAAAGACTTGAGTTTGGCGTTCAGATCCGTCTTCATTCCCATGGCAAACTCCTCTCGAAGATCGTGTACTTGATCATGGCGCACAGAGTGCACGAGGCCGCGAATGGCTTCCTCGGTCAGGCTGTAGAGCAGCTCGTCAAAGCGATGCGCACCCAAAGTGTACACAAACGTGTAGGCGTCGTCCTCCGTGGGACCGATCTGGAAGCTGATGGAGATATCGATATCCACCATCACATTGTCGGAGGTGGGGCATCCACGCACAGGGTTCGAGTAGGTCACCGCTTGTTTGGTGACGATGTGCGAGACGCGGTTCCAGGCCGGCCAGAACATCTTAAGACCGGGATCCATCATGCCAGAGTGGGCGTTCCACTTCTGCTTGAGCACCCAGAGTCCCGACGGAACTTTCATGAACATGGTGATCAACGTCGGGTAGCTGGGCGTGAGGACGATCGGGATACGACCATCCGTCACCTTGGCGTTGAAGTGCTTCATGGCATCGATGGGCTTGCCGATGTCCTTCTGCACCAGGTGATTCACGCGGTAGCTGTACCGAGTCGCGGGCATTGACGACGACGAACCTAACATTTCGAGTGCGTGTGTGTGTGGCAGTTAGTGAGTTTGGATGTGCTTCAACGAGGTAAGTGAGAAAAAAAAGAGAGTGAAGGTTGACTAAAGTGCATCCTATTAATACCTACAGTGACCCGCAGAATGTAGCTACATTTTTACATATGCTTTCTTTCGGTGGTGTTTCTTTTCCCATTGCTTACAGGCTGTAAACAGCACAAGTTTAGTGCAGTCCGAGATTCTCATTAGGAAAGGCCAAGAATTGACAAAGCTAAAGTAATTTCGGTGCTGTTTCTTTATCACAAAGTGTAGCCATAAACCTGTATCCACATTTTTGCAGACCGCCACGTTGAAGTGCGTGTCATTCCCAAATTTTCATTCGATCACACAAGCAAAAAAACTCAATCACCATGGGCTGTGGCGGCAGTAAACTCAGTGCGGACTTGCTCCCCGGTGGCTCGCAGCACCAGACGCGGTTGCTGTACCGCAATACGTGGCGTGTGGACGCTGCTAACCGCATCTTCGGCGCCTGCTACGACGGCAACACCGTTGTGATTATCAATCCGGGCCGTAGTCCCGTGAAGCCCTACATTCGCGTACCCGAAGGTACCTACGCTCTCGTACAGCATCAAGGACGTGACGTGGACTACGTCAAGCCTGACGGTAGTCGCACACCCGTGTGGCCTCCGGGTATGCACTTCGCGTCGGTCTTCACCAAGGTGGCCCACCTCGTCACCAAGCAGTACATTGTGTTCGACACGCCCGTTAAGGGCTGCAAGACCGCAGACAACGTGACCGTCGGCATCGACATGTGTCTGATCCTCCGAATCATGGGGGACGAGTCCAAGGGCGAGGACCCCGAACTTGTTCGGCGCTTCGTGTACGAATTAGGCCCCAACGGACTCGAAGTGCAGTTGCGAGCTGCACAAGACGAAGCTGTACGAGCGTTGGCTCGCAGTGTCGAGCACACAGAAGTGTACCAGCTTCGCGACGGCACTATGCGCGAGCGATTCAAGACTGGGGCGCTTAATTTCCGCACGAACCGACCCGTTAACGACGAGTTCCACTCGCCCAAGATGAAGGAAACTGGTGACAATCCACCCGAAGACAAAGTGATGTATTGCGTCACTGAAGACATAAAACGGAGCTTGAACGATCAGTTCAACACGTACGGCGTGCAGATCACCAGTGTTGCAATCACCAACGTCACTCTTCCCCCCGAGTTCCAGAGGCAGATGGAGAGCCGCACGACGCATCTAAGTGCCATCAAGGAGCAGAACATGAAGCAGATGAGTGACATGCAAATGCTGCAGTACAAGGAGGAGATTGACACGACCAAACTTAAGCGCAGAATGATGTTCATGGAGGAGGAACAGACGGGCAAAGCCAAATGTGCCGAGATCCGCAAGGGGATCGATCTCATCAACGCGCAGACGAAACTCGCAGACGAAGAGATCAACCAGAAGACGGCTGTTATCTGCAATAACCGAGACGTCGAAGCAGCCCTGAAAATCGCTGAGATTGAGGCCGAGACTGTTCGTATCGCAGCGGAGATCAACGCCCACTGTGATGCCGATATCGGTCTCATTAACGCGGAGAAGGCAGCACTGCAAATGCAGCTGGAGGCAACAACCGAAGAGGTTCGTGTGGCCTCCGAGTCGAAGGCAGCGGAGATCGTCGCTCGCGCTGAAGGAGCTGCTGTGAAAAAACTGGAGAAGTACCGAGAACATGTGATCGAAATGAAGAAGCTGGATATGCTCGGCTCGCTCGCTAAGAACAAGAAGACTGTGGTGTCAGGTGACACGTCCAACAGTCTTTTGTCGGAGGTCCTGGTGGCAAATCGTCAAGGCAACGTAATGCTCAACATCGACGGAGTGATGAGTAAGGCAGGCGGTGGTGGCTTCGTCTAACCACAGGATTGATGAGATTAACAGCTGAGTTGATCATCAACTCTACCGAATGAAGGTAGACGCCGACCTATTGGTGCACAATTTTTTTTACATCTTAGTGCCATTTATAATAGTAAACAAGCAGCCACTCTAGTTTTCAAGTAAAAGCTTTTGCAAATGAATTTAAAGTACAAAAAGTAGCTAAAGTCAAAACTGCTGACACCATTATTGGAAAAGTAAAAAAAACATCACTTGACAATACCTACGTATCTTTCTTGTTCGCAATACGACGACCGTGTTCCTTAGACCGAGACGACAATCACCGTAACATCGTCATTAGTCTGTCTCGAAGCCGCATCGGCGATGGCGTTGGCGCTGGATTGAGCGGATCCATTAGCGCCAAGCTCCTCAACTGCGATCTTCATTGCGCGTTCGTTGTTCATCGTCCCCCAGACTCCATCCGTGGCGATGACAAAGATGCTACGACCAATGAGCAGCTCACTTTGATGGATCTCGGGCGTGGCGATGACCCAGTTCTTCCTGTCGGGGCCCTTTAAGTGTATATTGCCGAATGCACGGAAGGGTTGCAGTATGCCAGCAATGCGGCCGTCCCAGATTGCGGCCCCTCTACGTAGCGCAAGCGCTTTCTCCTTTGCGTTGTGTACGCAATGGTCTTCTGAGAGTGCAACAGTCTTAGCATCACTAGATGTTGGCGCTTGCTCCACTCTCTTATCAGGGGCCTCTCGTACAATAGCGCGGCAGTCACCAACGTTGAGCACGATTTTCTGTGGGATATTTGTACTCGGGTCCACATAGAGCAGGATTGCGAGAAGGCACGCACCACTTTCGTTTCTTTTCGGCGCGATCAATGCGCAGAATCGACTGTCCAGTTCGTCTAGTGCTTTGGAGACTTTGGTCTGGTCGAACCCATTATCGTACACGTCTTGAACAGTTCACCGACAAGGAAATCGGCCGTCTTCGAGCCGGCGTGGCCATCAATGACTGCGAACAGGTGGAACCTTTCGTTGCTCTCCACAACATATCGGTCTTCATTGGCGTGCAAGTAGAGGCAACCCAGCACCGACTTCGACCCCACATCCAGGAGTCGGATGCCGTTTTTCTCGCCTACCGCGCTCACAGTATTAGCAGACCCCAAAGCGGTTTGTTCTCGATGGTCCACTTGTTTTTCTTCGTCGTTCGTTGCATCGTCCCCCGGTCCACACGTATTGTCTTCCTCGGCTTTGGTCTCTTCGACATCTTTGTCAGCGCGCGGGTCAGTTCCAGCAGTTTGCATTGCAACAGGTTGCGTGGTTGCTGGTAAAATTCAGAATAAGCGGATATCCATCAGTGTTTTTTTTTCTATCAATCAAGTCTGTTTCTCTCTTTCTTGCTCGCTTTCTACCATTCACGGCTTTATTAATCACCAACCGTCAGTTTGAGTTTTATTTTTTCAATTTTAGAGATTTAAGTGTTATTATCGCCGATTTAAAGAGCTGAAATTTCTTTTTCAAACCGGAGAAGTAACTTATAAAAACAAAAGTAAAATCAGCTTACTTTTGTTATTTAGCATCGTCATATGTACCACAAGAAAGGTACATAATTTGCATCATTTTCGCTTACGTCAAATATTCGGCACTTGAGACGTCGCGTCAGCATCTTCACCAGTTCCTCGTTCTCAGAAGCCAATTGCCCGGCATCAACACCACCATGGCATCCGTCACTCCTGTCACTTCTTCATCAACCAAGAAACTTCGCGTTTTGTGTCTCCATGGCTTTCGGACGAACATCCAAGTGATGGAAAGTCAGACACGCGGGCTACGAGACGCATTGGGTCCCAACACGGAGTTTGTATTTCTCAACGGACCTTTTGAAGCGCGTGGACCAACCGACGAGGTCATTGAGCACATGTTCGGCGATACCTCGCCGTTCTACGAATGGTGGGCTGCCCGGTATCTGGAAAAGGAGGAGCGTGAGGACATTGAAGCCGAGGAGGGCGTCCCGAGAGGCACAACCAAGCGCTGGTGCCTCGAGTTTGAGGACATCGACCAGGGCATTGAGTACATGGACGAGAAACTAAACGAGCTGGGCGAGTTTGATCTGGCCGTCGGATTCTCGCAGGGTGCCATCATGCTTACGATCCTGTCTATGTGGTACCTCAAGAAGACCAACAAACGTTGGTGGAAACTCCTTCTCTGCGTCTGCGGCGTGTATCCCAGAGGTATCAACGTCCGGGAGCTGTTCGAGACGCACGAAGGACAGCAGATTCTGGTACCGTTCCCTTCGATCCATGTTGTGGGACAGAAGGACAGTCTGTATAAGGAATCGTTGGTTCTAAAAGACATGTTCACGGGAAACGCCAAGGGCAGTCCGTTGCCGAGACTTTTACTAGAACACGACGGTGGACACAAATTCCCTACTCCTAAACGACACAAGATGTTCTACGCCGACTTGGCAAGCACAATCTGGCAGTTCTTTAATGACACCCGTCAAAGCTCCATTGCAAGACTTTAAGGCTCAAAGTCTTGCTAAAATTGAGCGGGTAGGAGTAGCCGTGTTTGTTAGAACAAGATAAAGTAAGTGCTACTACTTTTCTTAATTAAAAACATTTGTTTTGCCTTTATTATCACTGTGGCCGATTTGATTCGTAAACGTCATCGTTGAAGTTGGATTTTGGGCTTTGCTCCCATTTTGCATCGTTCTAGCAATCCTTAGTTTGCAATGGTGCTTGTCGCTGAGAATCTACCACGCCCCACGGCGCTAACCCCACCTCCATTTGAGTCCTCCCCAAAGATGCGTGTGTTGTGCTTGCACGGGTTTCGTACCAACAAGCAGGTCATGATGGACCAAACGCGCGGAATTCGAGCGGCACTGGGAGGTTCGGCCGAATTCGTGATGCTCAACGGGACATATGAAGCTCGCGGGACGAGCGACCCGATGATCGAGAGTGCGTACAGGGCCAGTGCTCCGTTCTACGAATGGTTCGAGAACCAATTGGCTGATGGATCTCCGCTACTGTATAACGACGCCGAGTCGTCAGCAAAGGCGCGTCTCCAAAGTGGTGCGGACCAAGGCGAGGAGCATGCGTGGAGCTTATCTTACAAGGGTATCGAGCATTCAATGGCGAGGATCGACGAGGAACTTCGTCGTCATGGCCCGTTCGACGTCGTCATTGGGTTTTCTCAAGGTGCTGCTCTGTTGACGATTCTGACGATGTGGTACCTTCGTCACGGCAATGTGCGCTGGTGGAAGCTCGTGATCTGTGTTGGTGGCGTGGATGTGAGTGGGGTCAATGTGAAATCTCTCTTCCTGGACAAGTCAGGCAATCGCGTTCTAGTGCCTTTGCCTTCGATTCATCTCATTGGCAAGACAGACCCACTTTACCAGGAGTCCCATCGATTAGCATTATCGTGGGCAGACAAAGCGGAGCCTAATGGATTTAAGAAGCAAATCTACGTTCACGACGGTGGACATAAATTCCCTTCTGCTTCGAGAAACCGCGAGTTTTACGCAGAGCTGGGTAGCGTAATCAAACAGCACTGCAACAAGGGAGCTGAGACTACCGCGTCGAGACTGTAAACAGAATACAACAACGTTCGTAGTTCCGGTCTGTGGCATTGAACACGAAGACAAACAAATACCACTGTAGTTAAAAACGAACAATAAATTTTATCATTACCGGTCCTAGGTTTCGTCGAGGTTGGACTCGATTGTTGTCAGAGTCTAGTTCTAAGCTAGAATCAAGCCGCCGCCTTTACCTCATATATGGTCGTTTGCACACATGTGAAACAGTGAGATTCGATAGATGATCTTGAAAAAAAACTAAGGTCTTGCATGCTAAAACGAGTTCATTACGTAAAATTGGCTGGTCATAATTTGTGCGTGCCGAACTGAGCTGCTTAAAGCTTGAGACCTAGAGCCGTACAGTTGGGCTGGAAGCTCTCTGTGAGCTGCAGCACGTTGATCGACACGGTGCCGAAGTTGATCACGCAGTCCGCTGGTTTAAGGTCCAGCAGGTCATCAATGAGCGAGTGGCAATCCGGTGTCAGGCACATGAGTAGGACTTAGGTTTCCGTGGGGTAGGCCGACGGCGGCACGAATGAGTAACTCGAGGCGGTTTGGCACGAGTTGAGGTACTGGTTCGAGGCGAGCGCGAGCAGTTTGGCAGTCTCCGAGATTGGGCACACGGTAGTCTCGTCGTAAGCTGAAGACTGCGTGGCGAGGCAGGCAACGGCGGCGGCAGCGGCATAGGAGAAAGTCTTCATGTTGTTGGAAGGGAGGGGCGAGGAAGGGAAGCTTGTGTTGGGGCTTGAAGGAAATTTGATAATGACCTTTATACCAGGCCTCGAAATGCTGGCCATGCGTTGAAGATGGCGAAAATCTCCCGTCAAACAGCAAACGCCACCGACGTTGGAGTGTGTCGGCGGAAAAACAGGAAGCGTGGTCCGCGTTCAACCATTGCAGCGAGGCAATATTACTGTATAAGTATTCTCGCATAACTCATGCGGCATGAGGCACTTTTTGCTGCGCTCACTTCAACAAGACAATTGGGAGACTTTCCTTTGCGAGTGACAAAGGCAAATCTCCTCGAACAAATTGTGAGACTTTAGTAACGTGGTACTACGTAAAGCTCGGTGTGATGTTGCTGACCACGCAGAACCGGACAGCTTCAACAATCACATCTGATCCCGTGCTCATTTGACTCAAGCAAGATGAGATCGTACATGACCACGTACATCAGAGACCGCGAAGATTGAACTCGTTTTAACCAATTGATGAAATAATATATTACTTTAATAAGAAACCGAGAAGACGATTTCTTGTCCAATTATCACAAAAAGTAAATTAGAAGTAAATAAAAAATGGCTTACACAAGTTAAAAAATGGAAGCGTTTTTTTCGTAAGCAGAAAAACCGTTAGCTATTTGTTATCGGTAAAGTAGTAGCTACATGTATTCTGGGAAACAAAAAGGATTGAAGCACAAAATCCACTTTCACTTTCAGATTATAATGGGAATCTAACAGAGTTATTGTTCTGGAATATCGACCGATGTTGCAAAGTGCTTAAAGATATTGCTGCATATAACCTGAGGGTGGCTCTTAACCATTGCCACGCGTGTCATGCCATGGCACAAGAAATTAAATTAGCATGGCGTGGTTAGGAGTAGAATCGCCCTGCCACAGAGAATATTTACATATTTATGGAAGGAAGAAGGAGAAATAATCATGTGCAGGATGCGTTGACGCTCCACTTCTTTGTGGTCGTCATCAATAACAATTTTCATCACAAACTTAACCAGCTACCGGGCCTTGGTCAGCTTCTTTGATACTTCGTGCCACGTTCGCATTCGCTCTATATCCACCAGACTAAACGTCCCAACGCCAAGAATCGAAATCACTATATCACTTGATGCCAGTTTTGTGTCATTGATTAGCTCTTCGCGGATCTTCACGTTTGTAGCCGAGTCTATGCTTTTCATCACCAAAGGTTCTATCAAGATATTGGTTAATGAGTTTGCATGTTGGTACAAAAATACAATAGCTATTTTTTTGATATTGCTTTTCCAACCTCTGGCTGTTAGAGCATCCGCACAGGTGGAGCTATTCCATTCTACTTGTAGGAGGTTAAAGAAGTGTTATTTTATAAAAAAAATGGGAACCGTTAAAGGCCATTAGGGAAACGTACATGATTTTAATCCTGAATCTGTCCATGATTGTAAGTTAAAATTTGTTTCGGTCTCTGCTATTTCCGATCTCTTTAAATTACCGGATTGTCTTTCATTTTAGTTTCTTCCGCCAGTTACGTGAAGCATTCGAGGACGAAGTGGGAGATATGCACGCTCGGGACAGCTCTCTTCGCCGTAGAGGACCTGGTCTATCAAGCGTCACGCGTGCTAGTGATACGGAGCCGCCGGTGCCAGGCGCTGAACGGTTTGAAGATTCAGCTGAGCAGGAGGACGAGGACGCTAGCGCTGGCTTTGACAATCGTGAAGACGTGGAGGGACTGGATGATGTGGATGTATTGACTGTGGAAAACGATGGTGAGGAGGCGTCTAATGAAGAGGATCGTAACGATGGCAATGTGTCTGTGACTGTGGAGGCCCCAGGTACGTGGCATGCGGATTGGGACGCCTGGCATGCGTATTTGTTGCTGTATTGTAAGCGTACCATGCAGGTCCTTCCCGTAAAGGAGACGATGTCCCGTGCTGAGAGAAACAAAAGGTTGCTGAAGACTAAGAAAGGTGAAACCCTGTCACAGCTGGTTCCTGAGGGTTTCGATCCATACCAGCGTACGTACATCTGTACGCATGGGTGGAAGATACGTAAGTCTCGAAGTGAAGGAAGTCGGCCGCGCCAGCACATCCGGCTGACGGATTGCCCCTTTCGCTTTGTCGTCCAATGGAACATGGCCAAGGGTGAGTTGCAGGTGAAACACGGATGTTTTGCTCATAACCATCCAGTTTCAGTGGCTGCATTTGCAACATACCCTACGTCAGGTGGTGTAAGATGATACGATTGTTACTGCCCGGCTGGTATGAATGCTGGCTGTTGGAGCCAAGCGCTCTCGTATCTACGATTATCTTCTGGAGCATGATCAGAACGTAATTCAGATTGACGTGGATAACCTGGTTCGAAACTACACGTCCGCGAGCAGTAGCGTGGACGACAACGAGGCTACTGCTCAGGAAATTGCACGGTTTGCCACCGCCGATCCTGAAAACGTGTCTACTATTGCAGAGACGGCAGCTGGTGAAAGTGGGGTGATTTCGCTTGCTACGGCTCACATGCGTCGCATTTACGGCAGGTTTAGCGAGGTTCTTTTGGTTGACTGCAGTCATAAGACCAACAGGTAGCTCATATTATATGTTACAGGATTAATCCTGTATTTAACATGATTTTTCCATAATTTGTTTGTAGGTACAATTATCAACTGCTTACCTTCATGGGGATCAATTAATTTGGGGAGGGTGCTGTGGTGCAACAGTCTCTTATTGAAGCGAACGGAGATTGGCACATGGAGAGAGCAATTGCTCATTTGAAGCGGTCGCACCCGACTCGGATTAAGTTGTTGAGAGTTATTGTGGTTGACAAAGATTCCAATGAGATTCGGGTACTGGAGGAGCATTTCCCAGAGTCTAGAGTGATTATCTGTCACTTTCACGTTATCAAATACTTGAAAGAGAAGCGTTCCAAGCCAAAATTTGGAAATATTTCGTCAGAAGACGCTTCACAGATCGATGCGGCTATTCACAAGATGGTTTACGCGCAGTCGGAAGACCAATACACTGAGGCGCACAATTCATTGTGTGGTATTCGCGATCGCACAGGGATGACTGGTTTTTTTTAGTACTTTCAGAAGAATTGGGACTCATGTCAAGATCGATGGGTTTCTTACTTACGGTCAAAGCTCCCTCACTTCAAGAATCACACGAACAACCGTCTGGAGAGTTTTTTCGGGAAGTTGAAAGACGCGGTGGATGGCTCTATGAGTATGGCCTTGTGTGTGAAGGCCATTGTTGCTTACGATCGGCGGGTGCAGAACGAGTACGAGTACCGCTTGTCTCGGATCGGACGATTTGTGAACAGCAATTACGACGAGGAGATGACCAACGTTCTCCGCTTCACTACACACTACGTAGCGCGACAGATTGAAGGACAGTATGCTGCAGCTCTGGCTAAATGTGCGTCGTACAAATTTAGTGAGGATCCGGACGTTGATGGAGATGTTTTGGTATCTGGAAAGTTTTCGGAGCATCGTTTGAGGACATCCGATTGGAAATGCGACTGTGAGTTTTTTTTATTTCGATGTGTTTACCCTGTCGTCATGCAATAGCTTATCGTAAACACGTTGGTGTGTCTGGGCCGTTCATTCCATGGTGTTGCATCGATGAAAGGTAAACGCACAGTACTTTTCAGTATTAAAACCATGTAAACGACCCAGTTCTAATCATGTCTAATCCATTATTATGATCCTGTGTTTTTCCATGATTGGGCAGATGGACAACGCCGAATAGACCACTCAAGCAAGTGAAGCAGTTTGCGTATGAGAAAATTACAATCACTGATTCAGGATCTGTCCGAAAGAAGATGCGTACTCAGTCTGAGCGGTACCGTGAAGCTGTCCGAGCTACGCATCTTATAGCAAGTGAAATGGCTGATATTCATGATAAGACGAATTCGATGACATGTTGAAGTTTGTGTTGACTCAGTGGAGAAACGTTCGTCAGCGTAAGATGGGCGATAGTGAAGACATGGATCCAAGTGGAATTTCAGCAAAGGAGAGCATTAGCAACCTGAAGGCAAAGGCAACTAGACGCGAATTCGACATCAGCTCTAGTGACCTCGAAGAAGAGTCCCAAGAGTCTAGCAGCGAAGGTCGGCATGTATCCCCGGCGGAAGGTGCTGCGCCGGTTGCGATCCGCTTGAACCCCAAGGCAAAGAAAGTTGGAGCTCCAAAAAAACCTAAGAAGAACACGGTCGCCGGCGAGAAAGAAGGTCGTCAATGGTTTGAAGCTGCAGAATCTGGACGTAAATTGGCAGGCGCAAAACCTCTGAAGGAACTGTTGAACGATTTGGATCGAGACATGCCAGGCTTAGCGGAGACAGAAAAACGCCTCTCCGGAATAATTGTCCGGCACACGGACTCGGCCAACAAGAAGCCCAAGCTTAAGATGTCGAAGAATCCTGTACTGGTACAGGATCCCTTCTATATTCTCCCATCCAAGCTTCTAGACGCGTGCATGAAGGTTTTGCCGGTATCCAACACGAATACGACAGCTGTATCTGTCGATATATCGCAACCAAGTCAGTCTCAAGACGCAGAAGATGACTTGGCTCCACAGACATACAAAACAGTATTTATTAAAGACGTCGGCCAGTTCTCCAGAATGCAAATGAAGATATTCAAGCGAGTCAGAAATCTCAAGGATATCGTAGAAATGGGTCTGGACACGTACAGGTGGATGACAGAAATCGGCATCCCAGCGTTACCAGCAGAAAATCATGCCTTCGCCAAGGAGATAGCCGCAGAGGTTAAGGCTACTTACCCCCACAAGCAAATCCAGGGCCTTCCGGCTGTCGCTGATTTCCAGTACGCAATGCTCTATCGTGCTACACCACCAGCATGGCTTTCAGATGCCTCCATACGTGCGCTGTGTCTGCGTCTATGCCAATATTACCGAGAGTGTCGCTTCGCCGGCTTTCAAGACGCATCAGTCAAAACGAAACGTACGAGAACTACAGAGAAGACTGTTTTGAGCGACGTAGTCCGCAAGTGCGTGCTGAATCAAGTCAAGGAAGAAGGCGTGGAGTCGGTATTTGTTCCCGTGAACTATGGTAACTTGCATTGGTGCTGTGTGGTAGTCAAAGTGAGCGCGAAGAGGATCTTCTACTACGACCCGATGAACCAAGCGGCGTATATGAACGCGACAAGGGATGTTGCCGTTGGACTGAAGATCGCAGGCCTGAATGACTTTGGTGTAATTCCACAGAACAACCCGATCCAATTTGACGGCTTCAGCTGCGGCGTCTTCGTGTGTTGGATGTTTATCCGGCACATTGCCGCCTTACCTCCTCGAGATATGAGTGACGCTTCGCTTCCAAGGCGTCGTTTGGAATTGTTTTGCTACCTGCTTACTGGTCGACTACTTCTAGCGGAGACTACACCGAGTACTTTGACGGAGGAAAACGCTCCTGCACCGAAGACAGATGACACAAATTTGGACGACGACGAGGTGCCTCCAAGCCAAGTTGCAGACAAGTAAGTTCTCGGAGGTAGCTTGCATCTTAACGTCGAATACATGTAATTCTGCATTAAGATTCGTGCAGACACAGATCAAGTCTTTGATCCGAGATTTTTTTCATGGGATAAAACAAGACTAATCCTGTACAATGATAAAATTATTGAAGTACAAAACTTCGATCCATGATTAAATAATGGTCGAGACAGGATTAATCCTGCAAAGCGGATAGCCACACGTTTCGAATCTTACGCGACCTCGACGAATCTTCTCTTAAATAACCCATATGGCTACTCATTTAAGATGGGTTTTCACATGCAGGATTAATTCTGTCCGCGATCATGTCTGTTTCCAAATATATAATCCTGGCCTCCAACAGCCGCCCAAAAAAAATTGCGACCGAGTGTTCGTAGTTTCTACAGCAGTAGCGGTATTCTGCTGTCACTCTAGTAGCTAAGTGATAGGCACACACGCTGGAAATGAAGCAAAATGGGTGCAGGATCTCATTGAAGAAGAAAATGACGAAGATGCCTTCATGATCATTGTCGGAGGACCAGGCGGATCAAGGCCCGGACGAGAACCTAATAAGGCATCCTGCCAAGGCATCGAAGGATTCTTCAGCAAAACTTCCATAGAGACAGGGTTGGGAAAGAGATCGCTGTTGACACCGCACGTCGACGTACTAAACTATATTTTCAGAGGCAACTTGTGATTTGTGGCGAGCTGTCCATTGTTTTTACCGTGTTTGACCAATTGTTTTTACAAAAGCATAATTTGTAAACTATTTCAAGACCTTACGATAATTAAGATCAAAAGTCACATGGCACATATCTTCATCAATGAAGGTTCTAGAAATAGTTTTCATGATGGCACAGTAATGATTTTCAAAATGTAGGTATTACTCAAAGGGGGGCTAATGTATTTATTGCAATAATTGGTTTAACTACCAATTTTTATTAGTCCTGTTTTGCAATGTTTATTACTGAGCTTTACAACAAAATTATTTTATATATTTCATTCTCCTACCTCTGCTAGCTACGTAATCTATTAATAATTGCTAAATCACAAATCGTATTTTATAATAGTGATTTGATCTTTTTTTGTTTTGAAAACTTCGCGGTCTCTGTTGTACCGTACTAGCACAACATAGACCGCGAAGATATATTTTGCCCATCGTGGTCACCGCTGTGCATGTACGATCTCATCTTGCTTGAGTCAAATGAGCACGGGATCAGATGTGAGTGGTTTAACTCGTTGAAGTTGTCCGGTTCTGCGTGGCCACTGGCCACTGGCCAGCAACATCACACCGAGCTTTACGTAGTACCACGTTAGTCAAGAGATACGTCTCAGTGAAACTCTCACAATTTGTTCGAGGAGATTTGCCTTTGTCACTCGCAAAGGAAAGTCTCCCTTAATGGCCAATTGTCTTGTTGAAGTGAGCGCAGCAAAAAGTGCCTCATGCCGCATGAGTTATGCGAGAATACCTATACAGTAATATTGCCTCGCTGCAATGGTTGAACGCGGACCACGCTTCCTGTTTTTTCGCCGACACACTGCAACGTCGGTGGCGTTTGCTGTTTGACGGGAGATTTTCGCCATCTTCAACGCATGGCCAGCATTTCGAGGCCTGGTATAAAGGTCATTATCAAAATTTCCTCGAAGCCCCAACACAAGCTTCCCTTCCTCGCCCCTCCCTTCCAACAACATGAAGACTTTCCCCTATGCCGCTGCCGCCGCCGTTGCCTGCCTCGCCACGCAGTCTTCAGCTTACGACGAGACTACCGTGTGCCCAATCTCGGAGACTGCCAAACTACTCGCGCTTGCCTCGAACCAGTACCTCAACTCGTGCCAAACCGCCTCGAGTTACTCATTCGTGCCGCCGTCGGCCTACCCCACGGAAACCCAAGTCCTACTCATGTGCCTGACACCGGACTGCCACTCGCTCATTGGTGACCTGCTGGACCTTAAACCAGCGGACTGCGTGATCAACTTCGGCACCGTGTCGATCAACGTGCTGCAGCTCGCAGAGAGCTTCCAGCCCAACTGTACGGCTCTAGGTCTCTAGCTTTAAGCAGCTCAGTTCGGCACGCACAAATTATGACCAGCCAATTTTACGTAATGAACTCGTTTTAGCATGCAAGACCTTAGTTTTTTTTTCAAGATCGATGAAATAGATATCGATTCTCGCTGTTTTACATTTGTGCAAACAACGGTTGCTGCAACCATCCATGAGGTAAAGGCAAGGCTTGATTCTAGCTTAGAACTACTGTAGACTCTGACAACAATCGAGTCCAACCTCGACGAAACCCAGTACCGGTACTGATAAAATTTATTGATCGCTTTTAACTACAGTAGTATTTTTTTGTCTTCGTGTTCAATGCCACAGACCGGAGCTACGAACGTTGCTGTATTCTGTTTACAGTCTCGACGCGGTAGGCTCAGCTCCCTTGTTGCAGTGCTGTTTGATGACGCTACCCAGCTCTGCGTAAAACTCGCGGTTTCTCGAAGCAGAAGGGAATTTATGTCCGCCGTCGTGATTGCTTAAGTACTGAAGTAACAAATGAATCCTTAATCTTTGTCTGTGTGGTGGTGTACATAATACTTCGAAGTCTGAACAGTTAAAATTATTTACCGGTTTAATAAAAGATCAATCATGCACTCCGTGCTCATCGCGGTGCTGTGTCTGGTCCTGCCACGCACGACTTCATCACAAGCCATTGAAGTGCGTCCAGCTCAATCATCGAGTGGCTCTCACGTATGCGACTTTACCCACCTGCATCCTCGACGATACGCTGCCTACCATCTTCCACCACCAAGAGATCAGTTTTTGTCAAGCATTTCTATTGACGGAGTTCTGGACGAACAAGTGTGGGCCGAAGTACCTTGGAGCGAGCCGTTCCAAGACATCCGCGGCTCGCCATTCTGGTCGCAGCCTTGGTTCACCACCAAATTCAAGTTGCGCTACGACCAAAAGTTTCTCTACATAGGCGCTTACATTGAGGAGACCGAGGTGTGGGCCAACGTGTCCCGACGTAATGAGGTCATCTTCCACGACAATGACTTCGAAGTTTTTGTGGATGCCGACGGGAGCATACACAACTACAAAGAGTTCGAAATGAACGCTCGGAATTGCACGTGGAATTTATGGCTCAACCGTCCGTACAGGGATGGAGGACACGAGAACAGCACTCGAGTGGATCCTCATCATGGTTTCGATATGTTAAACGGTGGCATGCAATCTGCAGTCTTTGTCAAAGGACCCATTAGCGACCCATGTACGTTTCGACTGAAAGATAACTCTGCTTGACACTATAGCTTATTAAAAGCTAATGTAACTGTGCAGCCGAGCGTCTGCACTATTGGACTGCTGAGATCGCGTTGCCATTGCTAGAACTGGCGTCACATTCGCATGTAAAAGTTCCACCAGCACCCAATTCGTACTGGCGGATCAATTTCTCTCGTGTCGAGTGGCCTGTTCGCGTCGTCACGGATGGGGACACTGGACTACAACACTTTGAAAAGAAGGCTGGTTTAAGAGAGGAAAATTGGGTTTGGAGTGCACAATACGCTGTGGATATGCATCGACCAGAGTGGTGGGGATATCTTCAGTTTCGACCGCAAGGCCAGCCCCCATCCATGTTGAGCAATGAGGTGCCACTTGATCCAGAATGGGGTGTTCGCTATGTCAGCTTTCAGTTCTATTACGCGCAGCATGCGTTTCATAACGCGACGGGAACGTATACGTCAAACTTGGAGAAATTGCTGCCGTATTTTACTTCTCGGGAAGCTATCGAGTGCACCAAGTTGATTGACATGAGTGCCACAGACACATCGTTCAGTGCTCAAATTGGACTGAGAACTGGGGTCCGTGGTGTCTCCGAGCTCATTGCAAGCATCGAACAAGACGGATATATTACCGTTGACAAGATAAACCAAGCTGCTGACTTAAGTGCGATTGCGTGAATCATTTTTAACATGGAAAAGGGACTTGATATTTGAGTTTTTACATTTTTTTAACGCATTTTGTACAACTTCTCTGTTGTCTTGACTCTTACGCGAAGTAGATCCACATGCTGAACGTGACAGCAAGAGCAGCGATACCACTACCGGCGACCAGGACGTTAGCCCACATGGGCTTAACGAGTTCCGTCGCATCAAGTTTCAGGACCTTGTCCCAGTGAATCATGTACTTCCGCACCTCCTCATCAGGACGGTTCTTGTGCTGCGTCAACAGACTCACCGCAACACATACGACCAGAGCCGTGAGCCACAATAGCAGTGCGAAGTGCTGGAAGTTCATGTAGAAGAACGTGTTAATGACACCCGGGAGGTCTCCGTCCATGCTGTCGTCTTTGATCGTCACGAAGATCAGACGCGTGAACCCAAGTAGACCGCCGACAATCATGGCCGAGAATGCACCGTACACATTCGCCGGTTTCCAAGCCACACCAAGCACCAGGACGATACCAATAGGAGGGGTCAAGTAGCTCTGAATCTCCACAATCTGCTCGTAAAGACCCGTTCCATTGCGCATAATAGGGATCCAGCAGAAGCTCAGTACGGCAAAGACGAGAATACTCATACGACCAACCCAAACTAGCTGTTTGTGCGAGGCATCCGGACAGAATTTGAGGTAGATATCGTTCGTCACGACCGAGGATCCAGCAGCGAACACGGACGCGAGACTCGACATCATCGCCGTAATGATACTCGATATCATCAAGCCAATTATTCCATGCGGCATCATTTCAGTCAGAAGCGTCGGGTACGCAGCATCGGTACCGTCGTCAATCTTACTAAAGTCGAAGTAGATGCTGGCGATGATCCCAGGAATTACAATCAAGAACGGAGGCAACACTTTAAGCATACTAGCGAAAGAGCATCCGGCCTTGGCATTGGCCGTATCTTTGGCGGACAACACACGCTGCACGAGATCTTGATCCATGCACCAGTACCAAATGGAGCCCAGAGGTTGGCCGAAAATCATACCCGTCCACGGGTAGTCCGGATCATCGGTAGGTTTCCACAGATGGAACCATCCGGAGCGGTCCTGGTTGGCCAAATTCTCCTTGATGCCCTCGAAGCCGCCGATCTGGTGCGTCGAGTACACAAACACTACAAGGCCACCAAGAGTGAAGACGCACATCTGGAACAGGTCGGTGTACATGACAGCACGTAGACCTCCTGCAATACTGTACATGGCACTAAGGGCAATGCAGACACCAGCACCAAGGTACAAGTTCCACCCCAGTGTGGCCTGGAAGACAATTGCGCCGCCGTAGATACTTGCACTCATCTTCGTCAACACGTACATGATGACGGTAATGAGTGACAAATAGTGACGACATGGAGCACCAAAGCGGTACTCAAGGAACTCGGGCGTGGTGTAGACACCGCAGCGACGGTAAATCGGGGAGAAGATCCAGCCCAGACAAAGGATTAAAATGGCAGCGTACCATTCGTACATTGCAACTGCAATGCCACGACGAGCGCCGTCGCCAGCCATGCCGATGAAGTGCTCGGCGCCAATGTTGCTTGCAAACAGAGCACCGCCAACGAAGTACCATTGCATGCCCCGGTCGGCCAGGAAGAAGTTGGAAACCTCGTTAACTTGGTGGTCCGGGCCATCACGCGCGATTAATGAGGCAGATGGGCGGTTTTGAGAGATTGTAGAGCCGCGCTCGTCACCGGTGGGCAATTTCTTGCCCTGCGTGGTCTCTGGGGCCAAGTAGCCGTCCCCGGGCGACTCGAGGGCTTGGGTGTTTTGGGGTTTAGCTTGTTTGATGCAGGGGAAGTATTTGGCCAAGAAGCTATCTCCAGCTTGGACGGAGGCGATGACAGCCACGACCATCGTGAAGAAGAGCACTGCGACGATGATGAGGATGTCTGCCCAATTGACTTTGGCGCCCCCGGACGTTTCGGGGACCGACTGTGTGTACAGCTCGACCATTCTATTGTTTGCTTGTGCCCCCGGAGGTGAATTAGAGAATGAGTAGCGCTCTCATGGCGCCGGGGACACAGCAGCACCGCCCGTATAGAGTCTCACCTAACCAGCCCAGCGCCGTGGCAAGACGGGACAATGCTGCGCTTCAAGCCAGAAAGCAAATGGCTGCAACGTTGTTTGTTGAAGTTTTGAGTTTCTGATTGGTCAAACTGGAGATCAAACCACTTGCAAATTGTATTGCCACTTGCATCCATCTGTTTACAAAATGCAAGTCATCTTGAGATTTCAGGTTTTTTTATTTTAGCATTGTTCCCTAAAAATAAGGCTAAGTAGGACTTGAAAACCTCTTCTAAGTACACCTACTATTCCTTTCCACGTATACTGGTGCGGCTGCCTCATTGTAGAAACTTTTGCGGTTGGCTTCCGCGCTCTACATTTCAAATCAAGAGTTTTCTGAAAGCCACCCGATCTGGGTATGTGAAAAGTGCAAAACTACATCTACTGATAGTGCCGCGCTACATGTAGTAGCGCGAGCTTCCGAGAGTCTATCGCCAGGAGCATGCACTCATGTTTTGCGCGGGGTGTACAATGCAGTTAGCTTTTCTAGTTTTTGAAGGCACGGAAATTAACATGGCTACTAGCGAAACAGGGAAATTAAGTGCTCCTTGTTACCAATACGTGCAAACACACTGGTTGAAATTATCAGCTTGACAACAGCGCCTGTAAGATACCGGTACATTCAGTGGATGCACGGATGCACACGCCTCGTAGATGGCACAACAACTTCAAGTTAAACCACCAAAATCGTGTAAACGAGAAATAAATCCAATTATTAATATGTAATACTGTAGTAAAAACGTGTGGGTCGCTGCAGAATTTTGATTAAAATGCAAGCTTTTAACAGTATTCAGCTTATGAATTCGTGTCCATCGACATGTGTCTTCACGAATAGAATGTCGACAGAGCACGTACCAAACAGCTACCAGTGGAGTACATGCTTGCAATTAGCTGGGCCAACTTGTACATGTACCGAGCTCCTTGTTCATTTGCAAGTTGAAGTTTAGGACCGCGTTTTACTTATACATGTATTAATATTAATAATGCCAAAAACTATAATTTCCCGGTCGGGGTCTTCACTCAAGATCGAAGCAATCATCGCTCAGAACAATGCTGTCTGACTCGGAGCCCGAGTTATTGTAACTTGAACTACAGGGACCAAATGACCGACATTGGCGATGGCGTGATGATGTCAGTTTAATCGCCTTACTCATTCTGAGTCAGAATCTGACATAGTTGGCGGGTCGGGCCACGCTGAGTGATCCCAAGGGTACACTAACAACATGTACAGTGCAGTACATTGTACTGTACACCATTTCCCGGCCAAGCTACCAGTTTTACCAACCATCGTGCAAATGGCCCGTTCTTGTGAGATCTAATTTAAGGCTGTGTGAAGACACACCATTTTTAATTTTAGGCTACGGCATTTGCACTTTTCCCACTACGTTCACTTCTGCCCATCACACTTTTCAAGCAGGCTGCAAACCTGGTCAAATACATAGAGCCTACGTTACCGCATCAAAGGGCACGGCTCATGCTGCTTCAAGAAATGAAGCCCTCCAAAACATTTTTTATTCTAGGACAACTTAAATGATGCTAATACGGTACTGTGAATGCAGTAGTCGCTGTTTGGCTTTGTTTGTGCTTTTTTTTCTTCTCTGAATAAGGGGTACTTTTGAAGCGTCAGAGCATGCGGTAACGTAGGCTCTATGTATTTGACCAGGTTTGCAGCCTGCTTGAAAAGTGTGATGGGCAGAAATGCAAGTCGTGGGAAAAGTGCAAATGCCGTAGCCTAAAATTAAAAATGGTGTGTCTTCACACAGCCTTAAATTAGATCTCACAAGAACGGGCCATTTGCACGATGGTTGGTAAAACTGGTAACTTGGCCGGGAAATGGTGTAGTAGCAGGCGTACTCTTCTTGTTGGATCCCAATTTGGGAATATCCCATTGGGAGTCCCAATGGGAAGGTCCCACAAGAGCCAGAGAGACAGTACAGTACAGCACCCCGTTTTCGCGCCCTTTGACCTTTGATAAACTATCAGGTGTGATAATTTTATTTACAAATGAACGACTGTTTGTACGCTTAAGTCTGATTTATTTGCAATTCCTATATGATTGACCCCCGCAAAACGGAGTGCACTACTGTATTGTACGACGTACAGTACGTACAGTGTACGTAAGCGCTCGTCTTAAAAGCTTCAAGTTGAAGCCCTCAACTGTTGAGGAGTCAACAGTGGTAGAGCAGCCGAGTTTACTGGCATCGTTGCCCTTTCGCGCATGTACTCAAAATCTTGCAGTCTTTTCTTAAGAGTCTCATCGCTCGACTATTTAATGCATTGGCAGTGCCAAATTGGCACACTGATAAACTTTCAGTAAAACTTTGTCAATTTCACCGTGAAATAGGAGAAATTAACTTTAGCAAGTAGGCTGGATCCAAAATGGAAAAAAAAAGTAGGTGCGTTTTCAAAAATAAGTAGATTGACACCAAAAATATAATGCATCATTGCTAAAACCAAATAATCAAATTTAGAATGACCGTTTCAAATTTAAGAACATATATCAAAGTCTTAAAAGTAATATCGTACGATTCGCACAAGGCCACACAGGCCCAATCGTACGATCATACTTATTATTGCTACTGTTGGTACTGCCTAGTATTTCCAGTGGAGCTCACACCCAGGAAACATTGTCCACTTGATCGAGCTAAAAGAAGACATGACCGTTCTACAGCCAGTCCGTTTCGCAACTTCTCCTGGCCAATCAGTTTTTAAACCCCATCGCCTTGCCAGGACAAGGTGCTCACGACCCTTCATTAATCATTTTTTGAGCTCTCGCAAAGACTGATTACGTGCACTGTTAGCCAAGCCAAAATGTCGGAGACTGCAAACGTGTCACCATTATCTGCAAGAGACCAGCTAACTTCATGTAACACATAGAGTCGAGACGATACACCTGCACCGTTGAATGTGGCTGTACCTAGCACCACTACTTCCGAGAAATCGAATGCATCAAAGTCGAAGAGCAGAACACCTGATCGTCACGAATCGCTGCGCGTTAGTTGTGTTGAGCTGGAGGATGTTTCAATTCTCCGAAACCTGGGGATACTACGAAGTGACTTGAACGTGGGTCTGGAACGAAACGACCTTGAGACGTATGGATCGGTTGTCGATCGAGGGATTAACCTTGCACCAGAGTCATTTGGAACGAAAGCGGTACTGCTACAACGATGTCGAGAGTTTGCTAGTAAAGCTGGGTTTTCCATTCGTGTCGCGACAAATAGCTTTCGCAAGATGAAGAAGGAGGGTAATGCCAGATATGAGTGCAAAGTGTTAAACGGTCAGCAGCAACTGACGCCTGGCACAACTCCCTCTTGTCCATTTTTCATCACGGTGTATGGAATTCGAGACGAATGGAAAGTTACCAAGATGTGTATAGCTCACGACCACTACCGCCACGTTGGGTTTCAAGGGGATTCATTCGTGGAAGGTGATCTAGCAACATCAGGTCTGCGTCAGCACAACCGTGATATGTCTTTCGCGACAATCCGCGGAATTGTTGAGCGCGAAATGCTTCCGGCCTACAGCGACGACTGGGCATCCGTGAAGGGTAAAGCTATTCTCGAATTCCTTCTCAGCAAAAACATTGAATCGAATCGTCAGACCGCTTCCCGGATCAAGCGTCAGCTGACGGATGTATTACAAGGAAACATGGAAGAAAGTTATCAGAAATTGGAGTCATATCTGTCTGTTGTGGCGACAGAGAATCCTGGTTCACACTATGGCTTTGAAAAACATTCAAACGGCGTTTTCAAACGAGCGTGCTTTTTTCCGAGTTCCTGTTTGAAGGCATTGCAGACATGTCGTCGTATCATTGGTCTGGATGGAACTCACCTTAAAAAGGAAATGAACAAGCGAGGTGTGTTTCTCCTAGCTACGGCTAAAGACTTAAATGGCCACTTAATTGTTTTCGGGCTGGGATTGGTCGACCAAGAGGATGGTCTGAACTGGCGCTGGTTTGTATAGCACATGCAAGAAGCCATCGGTGGATCTGGTGGAGAGCCCTGGAAACCTGCATTTCTATCGGACCGACAGAAGGGTCTGTTGTCCGCAGTTTCCGAATTGTATCCTGGTTGTGGTCATCGCGTATGCGTTCGTCATGTCATTACGAACGTAAAAAAGAAAACCTCCTCGCTGGCGCCTGGCGAGAGAGCCTTGATTTTTCAGATGGCACGCAGTGAATGCGAGAAAGATTACGACTTCTACAGCTCAAAGCTGGCTGATACACGCCCTCAAGCAGCCGAGTATCTGAGGAAGATTATGAAAGAACACTGGGTCACGTATGCATTCAGCGAAACATACGAGCAACCGACGTATGACGAGGTTACCTCCAATTTATCGGAATCGGCTAACCAGTGGCTTGGAAATGCTTGTCGGTCTGCATACCCAATGAACGCGTTCGAGCAATACTTCGTGAAAGTCGTAGAACTCTTCGCATCTCGCCGCAAAGAAACTACTCGTTTAATCAAGAATGTCGGTGAACTTCAACACTCAAATACCGATGGGGCTTGTGCAAAGGATGGTGAGACCGATGCTAGCTCTTCAATATCTTACGACCAGTCCCACAAGGACAACCTGAAAAAGATGCTTGCTGTTTCAAAAAGTCTTAAGATTCTTCCCTGTTTGAGCGGCCAATATATGGTGCGCTTTACGGACGTCAGCCAGAGATTGGATCACGTTCACTTGTGGCGAACGGTAAACTTGGTTGAGAAGGAGTGCACATGTAGACGGTGGCAAGACACAAAATTTTCATGCATTCACGCCTTAAAAGCGGCCGTGTATCATGGCATGCACATTACTGAATTGTTTGACTGGGACAACCACACATCTGTGACCTATCGCTCAACGTATTTTCACCAATTCGTTAGTGCGGGCCGTTCAAGCAGAATTGTACGAGACGATCATCTCTTCGTTCCAGCGGTTAATGTGCCACCAGAGGAACTGGGCAAGCGAGGACGAAAACCGGGGCCTCCGTCGAAGCACAAACGCAAATCACACAGACCGGGATCCGCAGTAACACCTACAGTTACAATGACACAGTAGGTCTCGAGCGCTGTACCCAAAGAGATACTAAAGGCTAAACTGTGCGACTCGTACGGCTGAGACTTTTGGTCGAAATCGTACGATTAATAACTGAGCAAGATCGTACGACCTAGATTTTTTTAGAAACCCAAAAATATAAACCTGATTGATTAATTTTCATAATCTATGTATTGTATGTCTATTCAGTTAATATATTTGGTGCTTTCAGATTTAATTTCAAAATGGTACTTATATAATTTCTTATAAAATTAAAATTGAGATCTGCTATATAAAAAAAGGCAAGGAAATTCACATCTGAATAACCCCACGGCATTGCGGGCACAGAGGTGTGTTCTGCTCGCTGAGTGCATGGGCGACAAGTGCTGACATACAATCTCTGCATGCAGCGTGTAGGCAATTTGGCGGGGTTACCGGATTCTCAAGGACACCCAAGCAAATGGGGCAGTTGTTGGAGGTGGCAGTATCCTCGTCTCTGCGGGGCATGTCATCATCGTCATCAGATATTACGATGATGACAGGAGCCGCAGGCTGCACACGCCGCGATCTTCTTGTTGCTGGAGGTTCTTCAAGCGGTGGAGAGGGGGGCTCTGTTGGTGTCGACTCTCTTAATTCCGCGACAGGATATGGTACTGCTTCTGGAACTGAGCTCGTAGAGCCCTGGATGGGTGGAGAATCTTGATGCTGGACCAACCGCAGCGCAAGCTGCTCGAGAGCCCCACGACGAGCTCTTGAAAATCGACGGTCGTAAGCAAGCTTGGCTGCTCGAGCTTCCTGAAGTCGGCGGGCCTTGAGAGTCGGGTCATGCTGCTCCAGGCAGACTTGGCGACCGACATGCTTTCTGAGGCTATGTGCTGACAGAACTCGACCGCAAACAGGGCAAGCGACTCGCTCGGACATCGTAGATAGATTAATAAACCTACTTACATCGATGACTTTTTGTTGTGTTGCTTCATCGTCTTGTAATACGTATTAATATCTGATCTAACCCTCAACTTCTTATTCCTAATTATACCTACTTACAAGTAGGTTGGTCAACCTACTTATTTTTTCCATTTTGGACCCAATCTACTTGCTAAAGTTAATTCCTCGTGAAATAGACGAATCCTCTCCGTCAGTGTTAACCCAAATGACGCTACTTCAACGAGGTACATGTACTGTACCGCGTAGATTCCGTCAATAATCACTTTAGATTTGCAACACATCGAGATTCAAAGTGTGCCTCAATAAGTCATCCATTCCATTCAAATCCATACTAAGTGCTTCAGTCTATACTATTTCGTACCGGAAGCGAAGGTCTTTTCATCTACTGTAGATTTAGTTAAACAGGTTATTGTTTAGCACATATTTTGTAAAGAGCGGTGGCCACGTTAACTCAAGAAGTATTCAAATTATTGTTCGGAAAGTTCAAACACGAAGCAAGAACACCACGTGCGCAGCTGCAAGCGATATTTTCGATGAGGTCATTGCCATCTCGTTCAATTTAGAACTGAGTGCGTGAACAATGCGAGGATCGAGTTGTTCAAATTGCCTCCTGTCGTCAACAGCCCATTCTTGCAGCCATCGCAATGCCAACCAGCTATCTGGTGAGTCTTCGCCTTCATCACCATCTAAAAGCGATAAAAACGCCGTACACAACGCATTACGTGCCATGGCTGACAGGGTCGTTATGCATGGAGTTCTTATCATCGTCATTGTACGTCGTAGCAAGTCCAAATCGTCTTCGACTATACACAAACGGAACGCAAGTTCGTATTCGCCGCACTGCGCTGCTTCCCGCGCAGCCTCAGCCCGAGTGAGCTCGAGGGTACAGGTAGTGTCGTCGTCGTCCTGTTCGTTATTGTCATCAATAGTCGCGTCGTGGTTAGACTGGAAAGAATCGGCCTGGTTAACTGACCGGGACCTTCGGCGCTTAGGAAGTGATATTCGAGGGATATCCTGGTGCTGGGCGTGTCGTGTTCGCGTCTGGGCTCTCTGCTTTGCTACAAACTGCTTCAACGTTTCGACGGTTTGCAGTGATCCTGCCACAGCTTGCATTGACTGCGCTGTTGTGCCTGCAACAGACGATTTCAATGGCACTTTGTTTAAGCTGAAGTCTTTGTGTTGGGCTTGGTTGTTCTGTTTTGCACCACTCTTCTCGTCTTCTATCGACGGGTTCTCAGTTCCATCACCGTTTTCTGGCGCTGCAGCTTGATCCATGTATAATTCCGTAAAAGTCTCATCTTGACTAGACTCCGGCAATAGGTGAGCTGGTGTCCCTGCATTTGATTTTACAAGTTTTGTTTGGTTCATGGGAGGCGCTGGATCATCCTCATCAGTCATAGCTTCGCATGAAGGCGCAGCCTCATCACCCTCGTGCTCGTCGAAACTCTGATCATTTATCTCTTCTGTCGCTTCGAATGACAAGGAACTCGGATCTGACTTCGCTTTGGGATTATCAGAGCCGTGCGCACTAATCACTGCAGGTTTCCAACGCTTGTTAGCGAACGAGTAACCTAATGGTTTGGGCGGAGCGAAGTCGTAGCTAGTAGCACTCGCGCTTGACATGAGTTTACCACTCATTGGTGGACACAGCTTTTCAAGACATTCAAAAGCCCTGACTGCAGGGATAGCAGCTTCGCGAACAACTGAGACTGAATCGTGGCGACCTGCGAGCACGAGAGTCCGAACTCGCTCCTGAAATGATAGTTGACAACAAGTAAAGGCTCCCGCACTCTATCTACGTAGTAGATTACGTACCAATTGTGATTGAAAATACTCTGTTGCGACTTGAACGGAGGAGCACCAAGCAGACTCTTGCAGAACGAATACATCGAGCATCAGAGTCAGCAGTTCCATTGCACGTTTTCTCAGCACCCAGTTGTCACGAGGGCCGTATTGAAAGGAATCCTCTATCGCTTCGAAGATTGATCCAATGTAAGGAGAAAAGTCGTCACCAAGCCCAGTCAAAGACCCTTTTTCATGCGCGTCTCGAGCTAGCTGGCACGCTGACTGGAGCAATAGAAACAAAGGTGAAAAGGTAGCAAACATCGTGCTACCGTCTATCTTCGCAACAACGTCAGCCAAGAGACTGTTGAAGAATGGACGTATCCGGGTGGCATGAGCAAGAATGGTGCTGGGACCTGGTACAGATACTCCATCAAAATCTACGGGGTGAAGCAAAGCACAGAGACATCTCGTGGCTGCTTCGCCGATTGCATTTGTCTCCTTCGTGAACACAGCAGCTACCGCTTCAAACCGCTGCTCAGCACTGTTCCCGGTATCAGGAAGCGATACGGTGGGGCACGGTAGGACGTACAAGGCAACGGCTGACACCAATATCACACATGCATCCGTTGTCTTTGCGTGTCTGTCGCGAAGACGAAGACATGTGTAAGATAAAACCCGTGGTAGGATTTTTGCTGACTGGATTGGATGGCATCTACAGAGCGCTGCTACGAGAAGAACCAGCATTCGTCGAGTAGAAGAGCGACCGGGTTTCTTCACAAAGCACTGTCGGTATATAAGTACCAAATATTTAGCAAACACGGCCTACCTTGTTTTTCTCAATCAAAGCATACACCTCCTTCACCATGGAAGGGTCTAGTTCTGGCAACGATCCACTGCCCAGACAAAACATTAGGATGGTTTACACACAGATTTCAGCGTCAAAGTCGTACATGAGCGTCGCGAAAGCTTGTTGTTGAGTGTCTCGGTCTTCCAATTGGCCAATTAAGACATTCAGATTGGATATCTCTTGATCTTGTCGCTCCTTGGTCTTGCGATCCTGCTTCTGTTTCTTGATCGAATCTTTAGGACTCAAACTCCTGTTTGTCGACCTAATACCTATGGGGTGTTCTGATGCACGACGGCGAAAGTTTGTTTCCATCATCGTTGGCAACTCAATATGACAGCTTTTCTTTTGTGCCCAGAAACAGCGAGCTCACAGGGTATTTACGGCTTCCCAATATGAAGTGCGAAGTAGACGTGTTATTTGGGGGTTGTTGCCGTCACTAGACACCCTCAATGATCGAAGTCGTGGTTAGTTCTCCGTAGAATGCGCTGATTTGAGAGAGCGTGTCCATATCGGACAAGTCGTCCGTGCAGATGCTGGAGAAGTCGCTACGCTGGGACCACCACAACGGCGAGTTCATGTCGTGATCGCTCCAAGCACCTGAGTCGTCGGACTTCTCTCCCCACGATGTCTCCTGCATACCACTGTCAAAGGAGTTGACGTTCTCTTCCAAGTGAAAATCCTCACAAACGTCGAAGGTTCGATCGGGTAGGACGCTCGGTGCGATGGTGACTTCCCACGCTTGTGCTTGAGGATCTGAAATACTCAATCGAACCTCCAGTGGCTTCAGTTCGGCGTCGTAGGCGATGTTGGGCATCGCGAAATCCATTTCAGCACTATTACAGCCCTCTATCTGTGCAATTTTGTGCGGGTCTCCGCGAACGAAGCAGTCGTGACGATAGATGGTGAAGCCCCCGTGATAATCCTCCAGGTACTTGAAGTTCATTGCCTCCAGCGTCATATGAACCGAGCAGACCCGCAGGCTAAGTAGTTGAGCGAGCTTTTCTTCTCCTGTATGCACCACGATGAACTGGGTCCCATCTTCAAGCCAGGCGAGCGTGTCTAGCTCGAGCTCATTGTCCAGGAGGCAGTGAAGCCTCTCAAAGAGGTTTCTCCAGCTCCAGCTCTCTTCAAACATGTCGAGTCCTGCTGAAAAAGATTAACGCCAACTTACTTCACGACCTGCTTTCTGAAGAACTATAACGCATTGTCTTACCGCCGTGTGGAAGCTTCACGTGCTTCAAGCTCCGTCCTTCCACGTCACTTTCGTCTGCCACACAGCACAATGCGTCAGTTGGCCGGCGCCGAGCTCACATGCACCGCAACTAGACGCACCGCTCGCTGCACGTGCTCGACGCCCCATATTCAGCTTTTCAGAATGAATGCGCACTTCAACTTCAACTTTGCAGCCAAGATATTAAATACAATTCAAACGTGAATCGAGAAGGCAAAATGCAATTCAAATTGCACTTCAACTATGGGTGCCCGCATTGGTGTCTCATTCTTCAATTTGCCTCGAGCTGCACACGTCAAAGGCAAAGAAGAAAAAGAAACAGAAATGTGACGTCAGCATGAATTTCGCCGCCTCGTTGGAGCGCACGGGCAGCAAGTTCTTCGACCTGTTCGATACCGACCCCGCTCAAGCACGAGAAGAGATGCATAGGAAGCGGCAGGAAGCTCGCGAGCGGCATGGAGATGAGTACGTCCGAGGTTTACTGATGTCCAATTACCACGATAACTTTGAAGGCAAACCGACAATTTGACTTCCGCTTGATATCAAAGAGAAAGCTAAACTGGCAGCTAATGGTGTTGTCGCTGCTGAGCGAATGCACGCCAAAAGCTTCGGAGAGATCTACTACCGACTGTACACAGACGGCCTTCGTGACTGCCGACTTCATCTTACACGCATGGCACCGCTCTTTCGACGCGTTTCTCGTAGATCAGGAGTTTCTAGCTAGGAAGATGAAGTTGATAATTCGGAAGAACTTATCTTCGTGCCGAGCTATAGCGGTAGATTCAGGAGTCAACAACTCAGTGGTGGATGTGAACGATCATCCTGAGGTTGCTGAGTGGGCAGCTTCAGCAGAGAACCACAAAACTCGAAATGGCTATTCAAGCAAAGCAAACGGTATCTATTGAAGTGTTTCCAGCCGCACACACGATTGATTTCTCGCAGCTCAAGCCCCGTGGGCACTATACCGCGTCAAAATCACTTCAACGATACTCATAGCGATGATGTGGGTCGAAACCGTCGAATTGGGATTGCTGGAGGTAAACGAGACGAAGCCCTGCGCGAATTGTTGCGTGCAGTTGTGTCGGTGCAGTGTCTACACACTTCGGAGAGTTTGAGTGGCGTTTGGCGTTGAACAAGTAAACTCGTTGATCTCAAGTCTTGTTGCTGACGGTGAGCTCGAACTGATTCACTTTCTGCCCGTCAACTTGCCACGCTTGTGATCATAACGAACACAGCGACCTCGATGTTGAGCTAACTTGGCCCAGAGAGGGGGACACTTTTGCTAGAGCAAATAACCCAGAAGGGTGTGGGTGTGCGGATCAATACCGGCCATTCTTAACGGGAAGATGCAATGGCAGGACCCACCACACCAACGCCTAGACCCGCGTCGTTCGCTTTGCTTGGTTTGCCCTTCGTGTGGAGCTTCTTCATCCTCACTCGGCTGGTGTACGACCAAGTTGTCCAAGACGACACGAAGCCTGCTCGACGAGTTCCAAGTGCTGTCGATGTCGCATTTGCACTGTTCGGCAACAATGAAGTCGCCACAGAGATCGCTCGTCGAATGGAAGCACTTGACTCTGACGGCACGGAGCGTGAGAACAAGGAGTTTGTACGCACCGTGATGGGATCCAATTCGCCCCAAACCTTATAGCACTACGTCAACTCATGGACGAGGAATTCGATGATAACGATGATGACAGCAAGCCGAGAAGTGCAGCAACTGAAAATGCAAGCATCATTGCACTGTGGCTCCAAGCACTTCGAGCACTGTCGAGACCGTCTCCTAATGACGCCAGCACAATTCACTCAAGTCCGTGGCAGTGCCGCTAAATGAACACGCAGATTGCAACTTCAATACGACTCTGCGCTTTACGCTAAACCAAGTTACACACGTACTGCATTGAACGAGTATCCAGACGGGATGGTGGATCCGTATTCGCTCTTCTGGGAGATGTACGAGATGGCTCTGCGAATGAGAAATATCGCTGCCGACGTGTTGCACTGTGGAGGATTCTTTGATAATTTCGCATCGACAATGAAGACACTTGAAGGCATATCTGTCCGCCAGGCGAGCAATCAGCAACAGGTCTGATAAGATGGCCAAATGTTTTGAGCACGTATCTTAGTACAGCTCGAAAACATACTGAACCGATGCAAAACTCTATACTGTAGCCTTTGGATATAACGATGCGTCGCACGACGCCTTAAGCAACAGGTCTGATAAGATGGCCAAATGTTTTGAGCACGTATCTTAGTACAGCTCGAAAACATACTGAACCGATGCAAAACTCTATACTGTAGCCTTTGGATATAACGATGCGTCGCACGACGCACTCACCGCAGGTCAATTGGTGTTTATGAGATCGGGTCATGGAGTTGGGACCTCTTGGCAGTGGAGCGACCCGGTTTGCCGAGTGGTATCCGAAACTCTATTACATCTGTCGTGAGGATTTGGCCAAACGGGGCGCGCTGGTCTCCGACGTACTGCCCGTCGGCTGATCCAGGATATGTGTTGCACTGCGTAGTCGGCGACCCTCTTGTGGTATTTATCGTCGTGAACGAGGTGATGCATGCTGGTCCAGTGCTCAGCAGCTACGAGTTCATCACGCCCATCGACAAACGCCTGAGTGATGCAGAATTTGAACAACAATTACCGCAGGTGCGAGCTCCTCTTTGGGCACGTTAATCGTATCTGGGTAGCGACAAGCACACCAGATACAATGCTGGAAGTGAGTTTTAATGGGATCTTACACCGCACCTTCAAGGTCCAAGAGAAAAATATTGGTAAGATGGAATGAAGGCTCCAGCGTCTGCATATTTGCACTAATTCAGCGGAGCCCTACACTATTTGCCATAACTCAAGTTTACCGTGGACTACTTACGGTGAACCATCTAAGGAAAGCGTCGTTATTGCCTCGTAGCGTGTGTTGCATGACAACAGGATCTATCCAAAGCTTTGTTGGTTTCACACATGATCAAGTCCGTCAGACCACTTTCCACCTGTACCTGTTGGATCCATCGGGTCGATACCACCGTCGTCACGCTTACGCCTTTTATTGCTATGTCCCTGGGAGGTTGTTAAACTTGCACTGTTCTGGTTTGCCGCTGGTCGTTTGTTGGAAGTTTGCGATGAGTTGCTGCTGTCATTACTCACTTTTGCATCTTCCTTCGCATTCGTGGTTGTATTTAGCGAATTCCCACAACTTTTTAGGATGCTGTCGAGTTTTGCTTTCGCCTCAATAGCTTGAGCTGACATAAAGAGCTAAACTTCAGGTTTCAACAACATGTCAAGAACAAACACTTCTTCTCACCCAAAGACACACGTCTTGCAACTGGCCGTGTCCATGTTGTCTCGTTCGTCTTTCGATTCCAGTAGTAAGCTTCCCCGCTCGCAGCATCAGGGACTTCTTCCCAGCCACTATTTTAACATCAACCAACACGCCATCAGCCCCAAGCTCAAAAATAATAATAAAAAATGTAACATCATACTCAGCCAAGTCTTCCGCCGACTTGGCCTTAGAAGTCTCCACTTTCTTCCTCACCACTGACCCAGGCCGCTCCCACACCGTCTCGTTCGTCGTCTAAAACAACAAAACCTCGATTCAATCAGTCTTAACACCCTCATAACCGCTCAGGGACGGTGACACCCACCTCGTTCCAATAGTACGAGTCTCCTGATACTGGATCCACTACCTCCTGCCATCCTGGAGGCGAAGTATTAAATTGTTCCGTCGTTTTCGACTCCAATCGGTAGCTCTCCATCTTTTGCTCAATCTGGTGTTCATTCTGGAGCTCATGCGCGCGTCTTGATGCCACTGCATGCAGCGTATTGTCTCTCACTCGAGGGTCAAACTTGTCGGCCGCTGATGGTTCTGGCTGTGCACCAAGAACGCGACGCTGGGCCACTGAGGACGTGGCATTTGCAGTCTGTTTCTGTCGGAGCTGCTGCTGCTGCGATAATTCGCGTTGGCTGGGGCCGCTTCCAGTCGAATGGAGGTACTTGAGAGCTTCAGCTCGAGCTTTTTGGGCTGCTAGCTCCTTCTTGAGCCTATCGGCAGCTACAGCAGACTTCGGCGGCATTCGTAGTGTGAATTGGCCATTAAAGTGTCAGAAGCTCTTTAAATGTATATCTAAATTTACGAGCAATTGAGTTGAAGTTGCATGGCCCTACTGAATACCGTTGCTCGGATGAAAATAATCATCGCGATGTTTTCGTTGGTTATAGTTATTTTGAGGCCCGGGGATGCTGTAGAATCGCTCCATTCTCCTTCCGAGACCTCGGACTTGAGTGCAGACTGCGTGACCTGCTGAAACACTCGCTTTATCCAACGTGGGCGACCTTTTATCAACCAGAACAATGCTGAGAAGGTGACGTTGACTGTTGATCAGGACCCCGCCGTTAGCTGACAGAATGACATTTTTCACAGTCCAGACCGTCATGGACCGTGCCCCGATCAAAACAGTGACCAGCGTCAGGAAATTCGTCCGACAGCGTTACCCGCACCGCTTTCTGGTGCTGAGGTAAGGAAATAAATCGCTGAAGGCAATTAATGGCCGACTCACCTCAACACTGTTATGTTGTAGGCTACCCAAGCATTGCTAAAAGCAAAAATCCGAGAAATCCAATCCAGCCCGGTGCTTACGCCCAAACAAAAAGCCGAGTCTGTGCAGAACCTCATGATGAAGGACTGGAACGATGCCAAATCGAAGTTGGGTGCAGTCAAAACGGAATGCAACGCAGAAGTTGAGCGCAAACGAGTTTCATTCCACGTACGTTTTGCAGTGCAAATAATATGGAAACGGGTGTACGCCATCTAACAGTGACGGATGTGGTTCTTGTAGGATGAAGCAAAGACGATATTGGGTTGCAGTCATTACCAGTACGTCATTGTAGAGCACTACATTGAATTACTGAGAAGCTAAATGACTGAGTTACTTTTCTAATTCTTATCAGACGGAAATGTAAGCTGCTCGGCAAATGCTGTGGGAAATGGTACTCGTGTCGGTTTTGCCATGGTGAGCTTACCATAAATTTTCAAAATAACGTTTCTTACCTCAACACTAACTCCTTTCTCAAAGACGACAACGAAGACCACGCCTTTGATCGATATGCTACCGAGTCGGTTTCGTGCTTGAAGTGTGATACAGTTCAACCGATCAGCAAGACTTGCATGAACGAGGACTGCAAGTGCGAGTTTGGACGCTACTACTGCGAGGTGTGCAGATTCATCGATGACGACCACAACAAAGACATTTACCATTGTGACAAATGCAAAATCTGCCGCATCGGCAAAGGTCTCGACATCGACTACTTCCACTGTGATCGCTGTAACGCCTGCATGAGCATCACTTTGAAAAAGCACAAGTGCGTGGAGCGATCGCTCGAGTCGGACTGTCCGATTTGCCACGCCTACATGTTCACTTCGACGACGCCAGTCATGTTCCTTCCATGTGGACACTGTATGCACGTGTCGTGCTACGAAGAGTACACACTGGTAAGCAAACACATTGCATTCTACTGTGTAGATATAAACGTTAACGTTGAACTGTCAGACAAACTACATCTGCCCACTGTGCTCGAAGTCGCTCGGAGACATGGAGCTGTACTTTGCCAGCATCGATGAGCTTCTCGAGCGTGAGCGTATGCCTACCGAATATCAGGACTGCAAGTCGTTAATCTACTGCAGCGACTGCGAGCGTAAGTCCACCACAAAGTTTCACTTCATCTATCACAAGGTACGGAAGCTGTCGTTGCCTCATGAACATCGTTTCTAGGAACTCACATATTTGTTTGCCAGTGCCAATACGAAGACTGCATGTCGTACAACACGAAGCTGCTGCGGCAGTTCAAAGATTCAGACAATCAAGTTGCATGTGGTCCAGTCAGTCAGACTCACACACTCTAGCAGCACTCAAACCTGCTAGACAAAGCGTTTAATAAACGCATAACTTGCCTAGTAAATCCACCTAGAAACTATCAACTTCTCTATTATCGACTGTAGTAATATGGTTATGGTATGAACGACCCAGTTCTTGAGGAGTTTGACGAACGGAGTAGTCGTCGTCCTCTACACACATAGGGTCATTGGAGGTTATTCTCGCGCCCGAGGGGGTGACACAACGTGCCTCGGTTCTTCAACGCAGCGAGACACTTCTCAGCGCCCCAAGCATTGAAGATCCTTGCATGCGTGCCCTGTTAAAACCCACAGCGCAACATCAAAGTGGCGACGCAGCCCATCCAGTGTCAGAATTATTCGAAATGTCAAGTGGTTCGGGAATGAACTGCGGTTTGGAGCTCCTCTCGTCCAGTCTTTCATTATAGATAGTTCATTGGACAAAATATGTAAAACCTTTTGACCAATAGGGATGTGCAGTACATGTATCCACTTCAACATCTAAGATGTCTACAGACTACGAGTGCTGGTTCTTGTAGCACCAGAGCACGAACTCACCGACTTTGGAGCGTCTGATCGATTCATACCGACTGCGGAAGACTGGATTTTGTATGGAGTCTGTTGATATGTACGGGGTGACGAATCTATTAAGCTCTATGTAATAGGCCGTCAGTTTCAAAGTGAGGAGGCGGGCGCGCCACGCGTCCTCCTCGCCATTAACATCCCTCGGCAATGTGTTTACTTATTAAGTTTCCTTAAGAAGTAGGATGTTTGAACCTTTTCTATTGGCTACATATTTGACCAATTAAGGTGCATTCTAACACTCCCACTAAAAGTTCAAGCACATCCTCCTTTTTTTTTCACTTCTGTGGTCTCATATGACTCGCCTTATCCTTAATCCAATTGCGACTTGTCCAGCAGAAATACCATACGACCTTTCGTACTTTTGGGCTACTTCTGGTTTTCCTAATAGTGAACACACTCTTTCCTATCCTGTTTTGATCACATATGATCTACTTTATCCTAAATCAAGTTGCGACCTTTTGGAGATATCATGTGACTTTTCGTTGTCGCAACTTTCACACATCCGGTGATCCAAAATAGGTGGCTCCTAAATGTTGCGACACCTGAAATTTGTGACGTTCCATTACACATACCTATTCCCTTATTTTCAGAATTTGTGACCCAACCAATTTTCCTTTTCCGATTTCCCGATGGTTTCTGCCTCTAAATTGCACCTCTACCTTTTTTGTCTTTGCTGGAACCAATTTCCTTCAATCCCATTCACTCTTCAAATTTGCGGTTCAGCATTCACGGTTCGACCTTAGCGCCTATGGCCGCTATTAAACCCTCCGGGGGGGCTATGACAGTCAAGCAAAACGTCCAGGCTTCGGTCTGTGATACCACCACTTCCAGAGACTGGGGAGCGCATCGGCATGAGTTCCAATTAAGCACGGCTGGGCTTGCCCCTCCCTTCCTAGATGCGGTCAACGGTGGCTCTTACTTGATTTCAGCACGTTATCGTGTTCTGTCGTAGTCTAGTCCATAACCCATTGACATGTGAACGTCTGAGAGTTAAACCAATATCATAACGTTACGTCTTATTGTTTTTTGCTTTAACCCGCATAAGTCTTTTCCTTGGTGCACTTCAACTTAAGAGTATCTTTCGCCCTTCAACTTGAGAAGTATCTTTGAACTTCAACTTGCGCCGGGCGCTTGGATATTGCACATGGTGGCTCTTCAACTTCACTGTATCTTGTGATACACGGTGCCAGAAAGTCCAAATTGTACACACCTATTGTGGTAAGGGGAGGCATAGGTTCTTTACCCCCATGAGACTTCTGAGTTTCTCAAATTGAGTTTGAGGCAGTGCCTTTGTGAGGGAATCTGCAATCATATCATTTGTGTTGCAGTATGAAACTACTATTCTTCCCTTATCATGAATCTCTCGAGCATACAGTCCTTTGATATCAATGTGTTTTGTCGATGTATGATTTGCTGGGTCTTTTATAATACTAATTGCCCCCTTATTATCACACCAACACATGATCGGCTGTGTTTGCTTAAATCCCAATTCCTCTAATAGTACCCATAACCATTCGCTTTCTTTAATACCTTCACTCGCGGCTATTAATTCAGCCTGCGCTGTATGGAGGCTAACAGTACTTTGTCTTGAACTTTTCCAAGTAATACACGCGTCTGCCATAATACTCACATACCCAGTTACTGACTTTCGGTTCTCATTAGCATTCGCGAAGCTCGCGTCTGTGTACAGCTCATATATCACTTCCTTACTTTTCCCGTCAAATACGAGTCCGTACGTCGACGTCCCTTTCAGATACTTTAGTACTCTCTGGGCTGCCTTATAATGGCTCTTATTATAGCATGACAGGAATTTACTTAATTCTCTGATAGCATTTGCTATATCTGGGCGTGTACCACGTACAAGGTACATCAGTGAGCCCACTAAACCTCTGTAATCGAATGGTTGTGCTGAGATTTCATCTGGACTTAATTTTTCCTCTTTCTCAAGTACTATACTCTTTGCCTGTGGTGTTGGTTCTATGTTACAGTCAGTCATATCGAACTTTTGTAGTAAGGGAAGTGGTCAATTCGAGGCCGGTTTTGCAGGTGCAATTTTCGGAAAGGCACTGCTTCGGACTCGAGCCTCGGAAGTCATAACTTTTGACAGTTTTGGAAACCTCCGGAATCCCTCTTTTTTTAAGGTGGTGATTGGCACATAATATGACAGTGCTGGTCGTTGTATTGTTACTTAAAGAAACCACTGAAATGTGGCGGGAGGTTCAATTAAAGCCCGGTATTAGACTGTTCTTGAGTATGTTCATTGGTACACCAGCATCAGGGCTAGGTCTACTAGAGCGGTGACTTTCGGTCGTACTTAAGGCATTATCATAGGCTACTAGGTTTGAGAGGTGATGCTATTTTGGAAAGGACTGCATTTCCAGAAGCACGCAGACACAGACAGCGCTCGAAATGTCGAGCGGGGCGCCGGCTCTGCTCGAGTCCCCAGAGCTCCGCTGCCACCCGGAGAACCTCGTACGGCTGCTCATGCGTCATGGCTAGCGACTCTTACCTTTTGCTGAAGCCAAGACCTCCTGTGTGATGTAAAACTGCCCGGCAGGGTGGGGGTAACGCTGCCGGATTGACAGACGCACATATTTAACCAATTTGGTACGGCAATCTTTAGGTTCCACATACTTATGAGGTCGTACCGACAGTTGCTCTGTCTAAACTACTGTAGAACCTACAATATCACTACCAGTGTCAACGCTTGGCGACATCGAGGTCGTCTTCTTGCAAGGCTTAGCCCTTGAACTACTCGTGCTCGCGTGTTTGCGACCTTTAGCTCCCGATCTGGCGGTGAACGCTTCAATTTCCTGTAAGACCTCATGTGTCAAGAGACGTCCGCCGACGGAAACGCGCTTGCGCTTCTGACCGCGGGCTTTGCTCGGTGGAGTTGGCATTGTGAGAATTTCGTCTTCGACAAGCGCCTTCATATGCAGCCATGTGGCAAGCAGGACGTGGCGAGGTGCCCCATTTCGTGTGAAATTGCTCAAACGGGCGCCCATTTTAACTAAAGACAAGGGAAACAGTCCACAAGCTTTGAACCCTGCCTTAACATTTCGATCGATCCGAGCCCCTCGCCAGGCCATGCTAGCCACTTGAATCGCATCGTCTTTGCTAATGTTGTAGTATCCGTTCTCGTCTTCCTCCACGAGCTCCCCAAGCAGAGTTTGTATCTTGCTCTTCAGTGTAGCGAATACGGCTACGTCTAATGGCTGCAGAAGGTGCGTGGCGTTCGGGGGCAGGAAAACCAGCATTACGTTCAGACACTCTGCTGCAGCAAGCACCTCTTCCGAGTAGTGAGATCCGCATCCATCCAAAATCAGCACAAGTGGACGTGCAATGGAATCAGGCACTGCGCTTGCAAAGAACTTCAACCATCGCTCAAAAAGGGTGGTATTCATAAAGCCCGAGGCTGAAGTCGTGACCACAGCGCCTTTTGCCTCGCAATTTTCCAGCAATCCAGGTGAAACGGTCTTTCCAGGCAAAACAAAAGCCGGTGGTATTACAAAGCCAGCAGCACTTCCACACGCAACAATTGTGAGGTGAAAATTAGCTGTAGGCTCTGTACTCCAAACGTTACTCGATCCACGAACAGCGACTACTTTCTTGCTCTTGAGTTGCTTCTGAAAAGCTGTTTCGTCCATATTAAAGACCCTCGAGCTGTCCAGTTTCAGCTCAATGATAAGCTTTGCCAGGGTGTTGAAAAGCGTAGTTAGGTCACCATGAACAACAAAGTTACGCTTTGTAGCAAGCGACTGGGCGGATCGCACGGTCAGCGCTGGATAGCGCTTTTTAAAGCCCTTGTACCAACCGTGGCCCACACGTTCGCCACAGCCCAGCAGGCCCACTTCCTGCGCTTTCGTATGATCACGGCGCGCTCGACTGGGTGGCCAATGAGCTGTCGTCCTAACCACCCAGTCGTAATAGATGGTTC